AACGGCGTTGTACGCGATGTTGCATGGCGCAGTAAGGAATGCCAAAACATTCCTTACAGCAACCCAAAAAACCCTTGGTGTATTCAACGGTTTATATGAAAGGCGTGCATTCAAGATGGTCGCAGTCTCTATCGTTCGGGTGAACCAACTGGACCTGCGGTGCCATACACAAACTTTCTCGATGTTCAGACAATTGGGACCGTGGCTACAGAGCACACGTGTGCTTGGATTTAGGAGGCTGGAGCTTGTATTCGAACCCAGGTAGGTGGCGGCAATGAGCACCAGGCGAACAACTGTCAGAATGCTATAATTGTCTAGTATGTAGTGGGCTACTCTATAGTGAGTACAGCCCAAATTAGGGTTTGCTATATGTATCCTATCTGCTGCTAGTGAAAACCCTCTTCTTCTGTTCTAACTTTCTTGCTACTATTCTGACATGGTATCAGAGCAAAGGTCTCAGGTTCGAATCCCAGTGTGTGCACTTCGGGCATCCCAGTACGGGGGGGTGTCAGAGGTCCACTGGTGATCCTCGATTGATCCTAGGGAAGGGTTACAGGCATGTTGGCCTGGGGGGTTATGGGCGAACTGACCCGCTACTTAACAAGCCCTTTTATCCCAATGGTCTAGTGGTTGGGATTCTGACATGGTATCAGAGCGAGTACGCTCCTGGCCTGTGGGCCCACCTGCTTCCGCTGCTGTCCTGTCTGTCGCGCGCCCCGTGGCGCGCGACGTTTTTTTCTTCCCGCCACGCGCTCGGGGCGCATGGCGGTTTTCTGCCGGCCGCGCGCTCGGGGCGCGCGGCGGTTTTCTGCCCGCCGTGCGCCCCGAGGCGCGCGGCGGTTTACTGCCTCGCGCGTCACCCCGGGGACCTGTGCGTCCCCCCCGTCGACCGTCGCGCCGCCCCCGGGGACCCGCGCGTCCCTCCCCGTCGACCGTCGCGTCCCCCCCGTCGACCGTCGTGTCGCCCCTGGGGACCCGCGCGCGCCCCCCGCGATCCCGTCGCGTCGCCCTGGAGACCCGTGCGCGGCCCCCGCCATCCCGTCGCGCCGCCCTGGGGACCCGCGCGCGCCCCCTGCGCTCCCGTCGCGCCGCCCTGGGGACCCGCGCGCGCCCCCTGTGCTCCCGTTGCGCCGCCCCGTGCCCCCGTGCGCCGCGAGGCTTCTTCCCCCCTCGCGGGTGGCGAGTGTGGGGGTGGCGAGTATGGGGGTGACGGGTGTGTGAGGCCTCCCTTGCTCCTCCTCCTCCTCCGTCTCCCACTGCTGCAGCTGCCGCTGAGGGGGTTGGGTGTGTGGGAGCCGAGGGAGTGGCACTAGGGGGGTTTCGTGAGAGTGGAGCTAGGGGTGCAGCAGGGGGTGTGTGAAAGGGGTGTGAGACAGTTGGGGGAGGTTGAGCGAAGGTAGCCGTCGTGACGTCAGCAGCGCCAGTAGTCCGGGGCCCTTGCTCCGGTAGCCCAGCGAGCCTGCTGCGCCAGTCGCCCGTGGGTCCGTTGCTCATGCCGCTCGTCTTAGCCGCGGAGCCAGTTACTCCTGTAGTCCGGGGCCCTTGCTCCGGTAGCCACCGTGTGCGCCGCTCCTGTTGCCCGTGTGTCTGCGACTTCACCCGTCGCCTCCTATCTCCACTCCTCGCACAGTCCCTCCTCCTCCTCACTTGCCCTCTGTGACTGCCTCTAGTTTTGCTTGTGCTTGTGAACTTCTTATGCGACTGCTTGCTGTGCTGATCATACCCCACTTTGCCTGTGGGGTTGTGTCAGAATGCTATAATTGTCTAGTCTGCAGTGGGGTACTCTATAGTGAGTACAGCCCAAATTAGGGTTTGCTATATGTATCCTATCTGCTGCTAGTGAAAACCCTCTTCTTCTGTTCTAACTTTCTTGCTACTATTCTGACAACAACAAACAACGTTTTATAAAAATACAGTCGATATAACGTATGGGTGGGTACGCCATGTTGTACTTGGATGTTTGTTATACAAACTGTGTGGTGCGTACAACCGATGTCAGTCTGGCAAGAATCAGGGTGTACAAGGTAGGTTCCTGACTTGTCCGCCCGCCATCCGGCCCAAAATGGCCCCCAGTGTCGTGTAAACACGCCCGATCATTGGTGATCACACAAGTTTCCAGATATCTTAGAGCATGGAAGCCAATCAAACGTGTACATTGCTACTGAAGTGTCCAAACTTTGGATGGCGGACGAACTTCAGAACCGTTATCTGATACTGTCAACAGACCCGCATTCGTCTGTCAAAGTTGATTAGGAAAGTACATCCGAGCTCCTTATTTTAAAAAATCTCTCTAATTTTATCCCAACTTCACTAAAAGAGTACAGCTTTATGGAATTCTACCCACGCGGGGCCCCGTGTATAGGGTTGATCCCTACCGAAAATATATCATGGTTCTCCTAGCGGTTTTATACTGTTCGCCCCGAAGAAAAATCCCGTGCAAAAATGGACACGTGTCGAAAAGTTTGCCCCGCAGGACCAGTTCTGAACATATTTTGGGCCTCGCATGAACATAATTCAAATGAGTTATACCTTTTGAGTAAACTTGGGACTATATTTGAAAGAATTTTGAAACTTAGGAGCTGGCATGTACTTTCCCAAGTTGATTCTGTGGCTACCCTTGAGGAAACGCCCTGGCAATAATCCCAGGAAAAGTTCACAACAGTGACACGTGCAAAATCCTACCCCTAGGTTTCCCCCAGATTACCCCGCTATGAGTAACCCAAAGGACTGGCAGTCCGACTGCTGGCGGGACTTCTGGGGCCTTGTACACGCCCTCTCCTGGTACCAAATCGCGGAGCTCGCCCATGGCGCGGAATGGCTCCTTGCGGGGGGAGCTGGGGCAGTTGAACTGGGGGTGGTGGTGATGACTATACAGTAGCGGGGCAGCCAGGCAGCCGCTTCGGTCCAGTCACCACCGTGCGGCTGCTCACTCGTCAGCCAAGAATGCAACCATTCACGAATCACGCAGCAGCATCATACAGTTCCCCCATTCTCGCCACCATTCTTGCCACCATCCCTCCTGTTGGGGGCTCACTGCAGGGTCACGAATTCGTTTTGTGCGGCCATCTTCCCATTATGGATTTTTATGGTCTTGCGGGTGGCGATGTCGTAAAACGTGTCTCCATTTCTCTTTAACCCAAAGTTCGCTATAACAATAGCGGACCGTCCGTTTAGCGCGTAGCGAACATTTAGCGGACGAAAAGCGGACGGAAGCACGAACGGACGACGAGGTGACACATTTTTCAAGATTTCGAAATTTCAGTTTACTGTGCATTCGTAACACTGTTCGAGAATCTCGTTTTTTTCGCCACTCAAAAAACGCGGCTTGAATTCAAATGCCGAAACCAACTCATCACTCTCGAATTCCTGCCATAATCGCGCGCCAACCAGAATGCAGAACTGTATAGTACTGTTGATTCGTCCGTTCGGAAAACGAACGGCGAATGAACCGCAGTTTCGGCCTGACAAAAGTGGGAAAAGTGACACCCCGATGCGGTGTGTATGCGACGTCGCATGCATACGCGCGAACATACAGACGAAAAATAACGAAACTAGTAACCACCTTACGGTTCGAACGGTCAACGGTTCGAACCAAGGGGGGGCGAAATGGAGACACGCTCTAAGTAGGGCATTCGCCTTCGTGCGGGACGTGGCCAATCTTGCGGGCTCCATCAATTGCTGAGCCTCCATATGCTCTCCCGATCCGCTACGCCACTTCGGGCCGGCCGACTCCGAGCAGTCACGCTCGGCGAACTCGGAAAAAGATTCCCTCCGATTCCCCCATCAGCGGCTGCCAATCGACTTCGGCTCCGCGCGTGCGGATGTGTGCTGACGGGGCGGGCGTTGACGGGCCGGCCGATTATGCGCCCCACTTTTACGGAGGGTCAAACGGATTACCGGCCAATCCTCGCTGGTGGCCGCAGAGTCCACTCGTTTTGTGCGGACAATTGTAGATTTGTCGATTTTTATATGGTCTGGCGGGTGTCGTAATAAGTAGGGCATTCGTCGTTCGTGCGGGATGTGGCCAATCCTTGCGGACTCCATCAATTGGCTGAGTCATGCGTGGTGGTAGTACTGCGTCCACATATCACGATGAGACGGCTCCCCCGAGCCGCCACGCTTCAGGGCACGGCGCGTGGCGAACTCGGAAAAAGATTCCGTCCCGATTCCCCCATTAGCTTCTGCTGGCGGAGACGCCGGTCGGCGGAGATCATATCATGCGCACGTATAGTAGTCCGGGTGACGGGCGGGCGTCTGGACTGGGCGGACGTCTGTACTGGGCGGACGTCTGGACGGGGCGGGCGTTCTTGTGACGGGCGGACCCGATCGTACTGCTGCTGCCGCTCATCGTTCTCCCCACCATTGGCTGGCTGCAAATCACTTCGTTTTGTGCGGCCGATATTTAGGGTGGCGAGTAATAAGTAGGGGCATTCGCCGTTCGTGCGGGATGTGGTCAGTTCTTTGCGGGCTCCATCAAGTGGCTGAGTCAAGCGTGATGGTGGCACTGTACATGATACTGTATCATGTGAGACGGCTCCCCCGAGCCGCCACGCTTCGGGCCAGGGCCGGCTCCCGAACAGTCACGCTTGGCCAAGTCCATCTCCAAATGGCCTTGGGCTTTTCCGAGTCGGAAAAAGATTTCCTCCGATTCCCCCATCAGCGCCGGCTGCCAATGGCCTTGGGCTTTTAGCTTCTGTTGGCGGAGACGCCGGTCGGCGGAGGAAACATCATGCGCGCATTTCCTCGCACGTCATGTCGGGGCGGACTTGTGGGACCGGGCGGACTTTCCGCCGATCGTAATCAGCTTCTCCTTCCGCCATCAGTCCACGTACAAGTACTAGCCGCGAAGCCCATCCGCGAAGCCCATCCAAAGAGTCTTTGCTCACACTCCATCGTGTACCCTTTGCGGCAGCCCCAGTGGCACATCCGTGCCTTGGCCCTCGACGCTGCTCGAGCGCCGCGCTCTCTCTCACTCGCGCTCTTGCTCTCCGAGGAACATCATGATCAACGTCATGCCAACTATCGGCTGCGGCCGCCGCATTGGGCTTGCAGCGCTGGTGGCGACTCTGATGTTCGTCGCAGGTGAGGATTGCCTTCCCAAGTCGTCGCAGCTACGAATGGCCGCCGCTGCTGCTGCTGATGACTGGCACCGATGGTCATGATCGTTGCGGATGATGATGATCGCCCGTGTGTTCCTCACCCATGATGCCATCAGCGATGTGATCATCGCCAGTGGTGAAGATGATCGACGCACGTTCTCTTGACTGTCGCTGGCGTCGATTGACAATGGTCGTCGCGATCGTAGCTGGTGAAGGATAGCCGCCGCTATGTTCTCTCTCCTCTACTCTGCCTATATTTCCTTCCTCCGTCTCTCCCTGTTGCATTCACCATTCCGAGGCTACCGTCTGGTTGCCAAGATCCTTCCTTTTCCAATCTCTATCTTCCACCCCCCTCTCCTCCCGTCCCCTCCGTCCCCTCCTCTCTCCTCCTCTCCTCCCCCTTCCCTTCCAGCCTTCGTGCCTCACGCTAAGGCTCTTCGTCTGCTGTCAGGCTCAGCAACCAACCCAGCGACCAGCGCTGGTATGTCTGGTATGCGCTGGTATGGCGCCATCATTTTCTTTCCCACCTCTCCTCCACGTCTGGTATAGTCAGTGTGGCGGATGGGAGCAATGTGTCGACCATGAAGACGGTGCGACCTGGATGGATTCGTCAGGGTCGCTGGTTCCTGTGTCGGTACGTTGTGCTCCACCCCATCACTGCTCGCATTTGCTCCATTCCATCCTCTTTTACATGTTTTCTGTCGCTCATACCTTCCACTCCGTCCCATGTTTGGTATGGTAGGCCATCGGACCTGTTGACCCGCTCTCTGAATTCTGCAGTGGAAGGTCCTCTCCGGAGTGGTTTGCCGTTTGCCAGGGTAGCTGCGGGCATCTTGCCATGCAGTTGTGATGCCATGCCCAGTCCGCATTGGCCTTCAACGTATGTGGGCCCTCTCTATCTATGCCGCGCCAACGGTGCCTTTGTCCCACGCCCTCTCTCCTCCCGCCTACCTCCTTCCTCTCAGAGCCATGCACTGTGAACTGTGGAGAGAATTCTCTACCCACCAGCGCCGGTATGTGATGACGCGGTCATTCCTTTCCCAACTTTCTTCCATGTTTGGTATACTCGGTACTGGTAGACTGTGTGGCGACACGTAACCATGTGTAGATCATGAAGACGGTGCAACCTGTGAATGCATCGATGCATCAGGCTGCTCCACCCCATCACTGCTCGCATGTGCTCCACCCCGTCACCCTTCACGAGTTTTTCTGTCGCTCACACATTCCACTTCACCACTCCATTCCCTGTTTCGTAGCGTCAGTACTGGAAGGCCTTCAGACGTTTTGACTCGCTCTGGAGTGGCTTGCCGTTTGCCGTGGGTAGCTGCGCGCATGTTGCCATTTGGTTGTGATGCCATGCCCATTCCGCGTTGGCCTTCAACGTAGGCCCTCTCTATCAATGTCGCACCAACGGTGCCTCTGTCCCTCCCCCTCTCCTCCCCCCTTCCCCTCAGAGCCATGCACTGTGAACAACTGTGGGGAGAATTCCTTCTGTTACAAGAATGCAGCAGGGGAGGATACGTGTGGCTGCAACGATGGGTTCACCATGACTGCCAGTAATGGCTGCCAGGGTGAGTGTAGCTGCATGGCTGGGTGATGTTCGTCTTGTCTCATCGCTCACCCGTTGCCCTTGTCCAACTTCCAACCTCTCCCTCCCTCCCTCTCTCCTTGTCTCCTTTCCTCTCTACCTCAGCCTAGAAGCCCAGCGAAATCTCTCGCCATCCCCTCCCTGCTTCCAGAAACCTGTTTGACCAAGATGTGTGGCTTCTGGGAAGAATGTGTCGACCATGAAGGCGGAGCGACATGTGAATGCAGGAGTGATTCCGTCAGGGTCGCTGGTTCTTGTGTCGGTGAGTTGTGCTTGTTCCACCCCCCTCCCTCCCCCTCTGCTCTACATGCGCTGGTTCTTGTGTCGGTGCGTTGTGCTTGTTCTTGACTCGGTCTGGCTCTGGAGTGGCTTGCCGTTTGCCAGAGTAGCTGCGGGCATCTTGCCCTTTGATTGTGATGCCATGCCCATTCCATTGACCTTTCACGTGGGCCCTGTCTGTCCATGTCGCGCCAATGCTGCCTCTGTCCCTCCCTCAGAGGCATGCGCTGTGAACAACTGTGGACAGAATTCCGTGTGTTACAGGGACGCAGCAATGGTGGATACGTGTGCTTGTGACGATAGGTACACCATGACTGCCACTGATGGCTGCCAGGGTGAGTTTAGCTGCAGTGGCTGCCTGGACGGGTAATGTGTCGTTTGGGGAGGGATTGGTGAGAGGCAATTTCCTGTTTGATTGCCATTTAATTGCTATTGCTACTGTTAGTGAGGTGTCTTCCTGTTCCTCTCGCGGCCTGTTTGTTGCAACTCCTCCCTCCCTCCCTCCCTCCCTCCCTGCCTCCCCGCCTCAGCATCTGAGCAACCATCCGGGGCATCTCCTCCGCCACCCGGGGCATCTCCTCCGCCCGCTCTGCCTCCGCCTCCGCCTCCGAGTCAGGGGCACTTACTGTATCATGGTAGGTCTCGCTGCAGAACGGAGGGGTGTGCAACACTGTGGCGGGCGCAGGCGGAGGGAGTGAAGTGAATCAGAAAGAGCGAACTGGGGAGAAGTTCAGCTTGGGGCAAAACACGGGATTCTAAATGCATCTGACATGCACTGTGATCGTGTGACCTCCACCTTCTAGCCATGCCTTGAATGCACATCGCCTTGGTCTGTTACTTCCATCCCTCATCTCTCTCCCATTGCCTTTCTTCCAACCTCTCTCTCCCTCCTCGTGCGTTCTGTTCAGAGTGTGCCAACAGCAATGACTGCCCCGCGTATGCCGTTTGCACCGCCAGTTGGAAGTGTGATTGTGAAACCGGCTTCGCATGGAACGGCACTCATTGCACTGGTATGTGATGGCGCCATTTCTTTCGAGAGGGAGAGGCGGAGGAGGTGGTGAGAGCATTGGAGCGTAAGCTTGGGGAAGAGGAGGATGACGATGGTGATGGTGGTGGTGATGGTGATGGTGGCAGTGAGGGGGATCAGGTTGAGGGGATTTGGGAGAAGCTGAAGCGTCAAGTGTATGGAGAGGCGGAGAGTGAAGGTGTAGAGAAGATTGGTGGGGAGAAGCTAGGGGAGGAGAGGAAGGACGAGGAGGAGGGATCGAAGATGGAGCAGGTGGAGAAAAATGATACTGTGAAAAAGACGGAGGAGAAAAGGAATGTGGAGGAAGAGGAAGGTGAGGGAGATGATGGGGATGAAGATGCAGAGGAGGAGGAGGTGACGCAGGGAGAGAAAGGGAGGGAGACGCAGAGGAGAGACGAGAAAGAGGAGGAAAAGGAGGGGGACAGAGAAGAGGAGGAGGTGGAGGATGTTGTGAGGCAGGTGTGGGAGAAGCTGCAGAGGGAGGTGTTGGGTGATACCGATGAGAGAGTGGGTGAGATGGAGAGGCACGAGGCAGAGGAAGAGAAAGAGGAAAAGGAAGAGGCAGAGGAAGATGAAGACGGAGCGGTGGGGGAAGGTGAGAAGAAGAGAGGGGTTTTGGAGGGAGAGAGTGAAGCTGAAGGGGCAAAAAGGGAGGAGGAGGAGGAGGAGGATGAATATGGTGTGAAGCAAGCTTGGTTGAAGCTGCAGAGGGGGGTGCTGGCTGATGCAGAGGGTGATGGGGTGGGTGGGAGCACGGCGAGAGAGGGTCGCGCACTGTGGCGTCACGGGCCCAGGTCGTGGCAGTGTGGGGTTGGCGGATGCGAAGCCTGCCTGGGTGTTGTGCTCCGGGGAGTAGGCTGTGCTCTCCTTGGAGTAGGCTGTGCTCTCCTTGGAGTAGGCTGTGCTCTCCTTGGAGTAGGCTGTGCTCTCCTTGGAGTAGGCTGTGCTCTCCTTGGAGTAGGCTGTGCTCTCCTTGGAGTAGGCTGTGCTCTCCTTGGAGTAGGCTGTGCTCTCCTTGTGCACCACCCACCCCACCTCGCACCTCGCAGGCAATGGTGATGCGCTTGTTTCCAAGGCCACGTTTATCCCTCGTTTCCTGCAGTCCCTGGCTTGGTAGGCAAGAAGAGGATGTATGCACGCAGGGCAACATGGACTGGGGGCCTCCCTGGAGTGGTTTGCCGTTTGCCATGGGTTGTTGCGGGCATCTTGCCATTTGATTGTGATGCCATGCCCAGTCCGCATTGGCCTTCAACGTAGGCCCTCTCTATCAATGTCGCACCAACGGTGCCTCTGTTCCTCCCCCTCTCCTCCCCCCTTTCCCTCAGAGGCATGCACTGTGAACAACTGTGGGGAGAATTCCTTCTGTTACAAGAATGCAGCAGGGGAGGATACGTGTGGCTGCAACGATGGGTACACCATGACTCTCAGTGATGGCTGCCAGGGTGAGTGATGCTGGAGTCGCTGCATGTCTGGGTGATGTGCGTCTCGTCTCATCCCTCACCCGTTCCCCTTGTCCAACTTCCAACCTCTCCCTCCCTCCCTCTCGCGTTGTCTCCTTGTGTGTTTCCTGCAGTCCCTGGCTTGGTAGGCAAGAAGAGGATGTATGCACGCAGGGCAACATGGACTGGGGGCCTCACTGGAGTGGCTTGCCGTTAGCCATGGGTAGCTGCGGGCATCTTGCCATGCAGTTGTGATGCCATGCCCATTCCGCATTGGCCTTCAACGTGGGCCCTGTCTATAAATGTCGCACCAACGGTGCCTCTGTCCCTCCCCCTCTCCTCCCTCCTTCCTCTCAGAGCCATGCACTGTGAACAACTGTGGGGATAATTCCTTCTGTTACAAGAATGCAGCAGGGGAGGATACGTGTGGCTGCAACGCTTGGTACACCATGACTCTCAGTGATGGCTGCCAGGGTGAGTGATGCTGGAGTCGCTGCATGTCTGGGTGATGTGCGTCTCGTCTCATCCCTCACCCGTTCCCCTTGTCCAACTTCCAACCTCTCCCTCCCTCCCTCTCGCGTTGTCTCCTTGTGTGTTCACGTTGCATATCTCATGCAATGGTTGTCAAACCTCATCATTCTCATCTATGTCTATCCTTCACAATGCAGACTCATGTGTTTTGATGGACTGTGGGCCCGGTAACTCGTGCGAGATTGGAAAATGCCTATGCTTTAATGGATACACCTGGTCCACTGACGGAAAAACCTGCGTTGGTGAGCTTGGGTTTTTGAATTCGTCAGCATCGCTTGCTGATTCCCTTTGGTATTTTCCTGTCTCACGTTTTTGCACCCATAGTTAAAAGTCCCTGTCAACATTTCTTTGTATTTAAAAAACTTACTCCTATCTGTATTCGTCATCACTTCCTTGCATCATCATTCCCTTGTATCTTTATTGCAGACCCTTGTACTAATTATTCTGGTTGTGAGCCGGGCGGCACGTGCAAGTTTGCTAATGGAGTTCCGTTCTGTGTTTGCAACCCCGGCTTCACGCCGACTTCTGACAACCAAGCTTGTATCGGTGGGTTGGAGGAGTGCAAGAGTTTGTGTATTGCGTTCTCAACCTGTCCTTGGAGTTGCTCGGGATTGAGTCAGAAGTTTAGTCTCCACTCAACCTGTCCTAAGTGGATTTTCTTATTGTTTTAGTCTCCACTCAACCTCATTGTTTCATAAGCGGATATACCACTTCATTGCTTTAGCCCCACTCAGCCTGAAAACATTGCATGCATGCATAGTCAATATCATTTCTTCATATGAGCTTATTCGTCGTCTTTCCCTGGTTTTCTTTTCTGCAGACAAGTGTGCTTGAGTGGATTGTGGGCCCAATAGCACGTGCATCATCCCTCCCCTCCCACCCCCTTCATTTGTTTTCCTTATGTGCACTCACATTAGGAACGGAGTGATGTTGAGTCGACCCAGGAGTATAGTGGCACACGCCATGCCACCTTTTCTGCAAGTGTAGCAATTATCGCGTGGAGGCTACCTACGGGAGCTGTAACTAGCTTTTACTGTTTTCTATCATTTCTCTACTTTTCGTCCCCAAACTTTTGTTTCCCGCCTTTTCTTCATCCCCAGTTCCCTCTAGGCATGATACTGTCACATTGTATACTCATGCTCTCTATGCTATAAGTAGTGCTTGTGTCAAGATATAAACTTGCTTGTTAGGCTTTAGTGGGGTACATTATATGGGGTAAAACACTTGTTAGGGTTTGTACCTGTACCTCCTCCTTGCTAGTGAACACCATTTCGCTGTTCATACTTCACATGGTAACATCGAGTACCGTAGGTTAGGTCCGTGCCTACTGCCTGTCCCTGCTACAGTCGTTGTACTGCCCTGTGCACTCTACCTTGCCCTGCCCAGCCCCGCGCACTGGTACCCCGCGTGCCACTGCACTGCGCGCGCCGCTGCTCCGCGCGCCCCGCTACCCCGGGTGCTGCTGCCCAGTGCGCTGCCCCACTGCCTCTCGCGCACAGCTGCCCAGCTGCCCTGCGTGCCCAGTGCGACCCGCTGCCCTGCAAGCCCCACTGCCCTACGCGCCCTGCTGCCCAGTGCGACCCGCTGACCTGCGCGCCCCACTGCCCTACGCGCCCTGCTGCCCAGTGCGGCCCGCTGCCCTGCGAGCCCCGCTGCATTGCATGCCGTTGCACCGTGCCACACGCTGCCCCCCTGCCCAGTGCGGCGAGCGCATCCTCGCCCCGCTACCCCGCGCGCAGCTGCCCTGCGTGATGCACACCCCGCTGCCCCGCTACCCAGTGCAACGCGCGCCCCGTCGCCCTGCTGCCTCGCTGCTGTGCAAGACGCGCGCCCCGTCGCCCCGCTGCCCTGCGTGCAGCTGCCCTGCGCGACGCGCGCCCCGCTACCCCGCTGCCCAACGCCACGCATGCCCCGTCGCCCCGCTGCCCCACGCGTGTGCCCTGCAGCAGCTGCTACAACTGCCGCAGCTGCTGCAACTGCCGCTACAGCTGCTGCAACTGCCCCGCTACAGCCCGTGCAGCAGCCGCTCCAGCTGCCGCAACCACAGCAACTGCCGCTACACCTACTGCCGCTGCCACTACAGCCGCTGCAGCTGAAGCTACAACTGCCGCAGCCGCTACACGTGCTGCCGCTGCCGCTACAGCCACTGCGGCAGCCGTTACAACTGCCACGGCTGCAACAACTGCTGCTACAGCTGCTGCCGCTATCACTACAGCCGATGCAGCGACCACTACAGCTGCCGCAGCCGCCGCCGATCCCGCTATAGCTGCTGCTGCTACAGCCGCCGCTGCTGCTGACCCGACCGCAGCCGCAGCCGCTAATCCTACCGCTGCAGTCGCCGCCCCTGCCGCTGCTGCCACTGCAACTGCAGCTACTTCCTAGTAATGATGCTTGACTTAGTTCCTACCATGGCCTCTGTCAGTGTCCTAGTAGTTGATGCAGACGGGCGCCCTCTCGAGTTTGAGTCGTGGCTAGACCGCCTGCACTTGTATCTCCAGCACTTCATTTTCGATGGCGTCTCCCTGTTTGCGCACACGTCGGTGCTCCTTCAGGCCCCCACGACTCCAACTGAGCCTGCTTCTACCGCTGGCAGGACGTGCAGCGGCGATACCGGGCGGACCGCAATGCCTGCACACAGGGGACGGCACGCGACGCTGTCGCCCAACTTGTTGTCCGCGCTCACCTGTCGTTCGACCAGAGGGCCCACTTCCGCCAGGTGACGTTGGCCCAGACTTTCTATGACGTTGTGGTTAGGCACTACTCCTCCCTCTCTTTTGCCATCCTAGGCCGTCTTGCGCTGCCGTTTCTCCTCCCCGACATATCGTCGCAGGAGTGTGAGGGTGGAGGTTCTGGGGGTGGGCAACAGCAGCAGCAGCAGCAATGGTGGAGTCCGATGTTCGGGGAGGAGCAGCAGCTGTCGTCGCTAGCCTGTGTCGAGGAGGTGAGTGTAGTTGCTTGTGAGCCTTCTAGCTCCAGTGCAGTTTCTACAGAGGCTTTGCATATGTTCATGTTGGACTCCGGCGTCACGCTGCTTCTTCCGCGACTGCACCACAGTCACACCGCTCGCAGCACCTGTCCCTGTCACTCCGGCCGACCCCTCCTCTGGCCCAGTCGTTGCACGCGGCTCCACTGTTCTCCCGTATCCGGCAGCCCCCTCTGGCTCCCTCACAGGTCTCCACCTCCCCTCGTTCGTTACGAACTTGGTGAGTACCTCTGTCCTCCAGGATCAGTTGGTCACTACCACTACTCCTGGGGGCGAGCTCGTGGCGATCTGTACGGACTCAGTGACTGACGACCAACTTGCCAAGTTCACTCAGAGGCCTGGGTCTGGGCTATACACACTGGACAGGTGGCTGCGTCCTGCCAGGTAGCTGCGTCTTGCTCGTGTCAGTTACTCACGCACCCGTCTCTCCTCTTGCACCACCGTCTTGGTCACCCTTCCCTACAATGTCTGCGTCGCATGCACTCGCGTCTTCTTGTCTCTGGCCTCTTGAGGTCCCTGCCCACCGCTCCCCCCATCGCTTGCGCCGCCGCGCACTCCCTGCGTCGAGGGGCGGCAACGCGCCGCTCCTCAATCCTACTCGTTCCCCTCCGACCAATGATCCTCTGCAGACACTGCACATAGACATGTGGCGCCCCGCCCATGTCTCTGGGCCGCGCCGGGAGAGCTACTTCCTGCTTGTCGTCGACGACTACACGCGCACACCACTGTGTTTCACTTGCATCACAAGGGAGACGTCCGTGTTGTTTTGATCCCTTAGATCCGCGCTGTTCGTCGCCAGCTCAGCGCACGGTTCCGTCATGACCTTCCAGTGCTTCGATTGTACTCTGACCGTGGAGGTGAGTTTTCCTCCGATCTCCTTGAGGACTTTTGTCATGAGGAGGGCGTCTCCCAGTCGTTCACGCTTCCGGCCTCTCCACCCCAGAATGGGATCGCTGAGCGCCACATTGGCTTGATCATGGATGATGCTCACACCTCCATGATCCATGTAGCTCCTCCCCATTTTCTGTGGTCGTTTGCAGTCCAATATGCCGCGCATCAGCTCAACCTCTGGCCCCGTGTCTCCAATCCAGAGACCTTGCCTACACTGCGTTGGACGGGGGAGGTTGCGATGCGTCAGCGTTTTGGGTCTGGGGCTCGCTTGCCCTTGTCTGCGATACTACCGCGGGCAAGCTCTCTCCTCGTACCATTCGCCGAGCCTTCCTTGGCTTTCCTGACGATACGCATGACTGGCAGTTTTACCACCCAGCCATGCGCCACGTCCTGTCCTCCTGTGACGTCACCTTTGACGAATCGGTTTGCTAATACCGTCTCTTCCACCATCGTAGTTCCCCGGTGCCCCCCCCACCCCTCTTCCTGGTTCCACGTTACCCCCCCCCTCACCTCTCCTGGTTCCAGGTTACCCCCCGGTAGACCCCCGCCCCCCCCCCCCCCCCCTTTGCGTCCTGCTCCCTCAGGTGTGTCTCAGGTCTCACCATCCCCCTTGGTTGAGCATTGGAGGTCTCCTTAGACCCCACTGGCCAGGCTGAAGGGGGTGACCCTGTTGCGGACGACACTGCGGCCTCTCCCCGCTCCCCGCGCTCGGAGACCCCTCCTGGTTTTCCGCCTCGACCGCGTTCGCCGCCTCTACAACCTGTCGTTGTGGACTCCGGTGTTGTTGGGGGTGGTGACAAAAGCTCTGGGGGTGATGGGTCTGGGGGTGCTGGCGCTGGAGGTGCTGGTTCTGGAGGTGCTGGTTCAGGGGTGCTGACTCTGGTGGTGCTGGTTCTGGGGGTGCTGAGCGTCTTAGTGGAGGTGGAGTTGAGGGTACTACTGCTAGTGGTTCTATGGGTGCGTTGCAGCCTCTGCCACGACGCCCCTACTTTTGGGAGCTGCAGGAGTCGTTGCTACCTCTCCCTGAGTCCGGTGATGGAGGTTTTGGTGCTGGAGGTGCTAGAGCTGGAGATGCTGGTGGTTCTGTTGGTGGAGGTAATGGAGTTGGAGGTGCTGGTAGTTTTGGTGCCAGAGGTGCTGGAGCTGGAGATGCTCGTAGTTCTGGTGCTGGAGGTACTGAAGCTGGAGGTGCTGGAGCTGGCGGTGCTGGAGGTACTACCACTGGAGGTGCTCGAGGTTCCGGTGCTGGAGGTGCTAGAGCTGGAGGTGCTTGTGGTTCTGGTATCGGAGGTGCTGGAGCTGGAGGTGCTGGTGGTTATGGTGATGGAGGTACTGAAGCTGGAGGTGCTAGAGGTTCTGGGGGTGCTACGTAGACGCGGCCACGACGACCATTCATCTGGAAGCAGTCGCAGTTGTCGCTGCCACCACCTGGCTCGGCACTTCACCAGGTTCTTTGTCGTCCATCTGCCTCTGCAGAGCCGTCTGCCGCTGGTCCTACTCCTCCTTTACTGTGTCCACCGTCTGACCAGTCCCACCGACAGTTAATACCTGACTCTGTCAAAGCATATGCTTGTTATACATGTGTAGGCTGTAGTGGGGTAGCCAATATGGGGTACAGCCCCTTTTAGGGTTTCATACTTGTACCCAACTCTGTGATAGTTCATTCAGTCCT